CTCTCCCAAAGAAAAAAAAAACTAGCAATACACACCAAACTGAGCATGTGCAGAGTGTCTCCTAGAGCTCTGTGCTATCAGCAGATGGATTGGGGACAGTAGAAGAAGGGGAGGATCAGAGAGGACAGGGTCAAACAGCTTTTTTTTACACAATGCAGAGGACTAAGCCTTTAGGTTCCACAGTGAGTATAACAAGCACGCTTTACTGCATATACAGACTGATTTTACTGTTGTGGGTTTAGTAACACTTTAACTGCTGACACTATGGCACAGGGTTGCCAAACGTCAGTAAATTTACAAACAGTTTGTAACAGCCAGTGATTTTTACAACTGTCCATAAATGTCAGGGGCTAATAATTGTCATGGTGTGTTGACTTTTTACATGTAAAATAACTAGTTATGGGTATTGTCAGTATTTCAATATCATGTTTATACTGTTTAACCACTTGCCCTCCAGAAGATTTACCCTCCTTCCTGACCAGGCCATTTTTTTGTTGCGATTTGGTGCTGCATTTCTTTAACTGACAATTGTGCAGTCATGCAATGCTGCACCCAAATTAAATTTATGTCCTTTTTGGAGATTTCTTGCACTGGTATTTGATCACCTTTTTTATTTTTTTGCGCTATAATAAAAAAAAAAACAATATTTTTGAGTTTTTGCTGTAAAATATATCCAGTAAAAAAATTTTAAAAAATGAAATTTTTTCATAAATTTAGGCCAAAATGTATTCTGCTCCATGTTTTTGCTAAAATACAAAAATCCCAATACATGCAAATTAATTGATTTACATGAAAGTTATAGCATTTACAAATGGCGGTATATGTACTGGAATTTTTTTTTTTATTATTTTTTTTAATACTAGTAATGGTGGTGATCAGCAACCTATAGCGGAACTGCAGCAGGCATTCTGACACTGGGGAGGAACTGACTAACTGCCACTGGCATCCCCTGTGACACTAATATAGTGATCAGTGCTAATAAAAAGCACTGACACTGTACTAATGACACTGGGCAGGAAGGGTTAACATCTGGGGTGATCAAAGGGTTAATTGTGTGCTGTTTTACTGTTTGTTTTACTATGCAAGGATGGTGCTTTATATTGCTCTGCTATGCAGAGCAATACAAAGCAGCATGCTGGTGCTGACAGGGCAGAGATCTGTGTTGTTTACATACAGACTTCTCCCTCAGTGTTCCTTGGCGATCGCCAGGTGCCGGTTGGAAATCTGTACCTGGGATCTGGTGATCGACAGCTGTAGCTGCCATTGGTGGAGCGGGTAGGACGGTGCACGCACGCCTCATACCCAGAAATGCAAAATCACCTATATATACGTGATTTTGTGCAGCCCTGCCACCCTGTAGCAGAAGATCTGCTATAGGGTGGTCGGGAAGCGGTTAAACATCAATTGTCTAAGGCAGGCCATAAACAAGTCGAACTCTGAAAGTTCTGGCAAGCGAAAATAGCTCATACGATTGTGCCATCAATTGTTTCGTTTTTCTAATAAAAATCCATAATGTTGGATCAGCCACTCTCAATTGCAGCACAAAAATCACATGTCACAGCTGGCATACTAATGATGCAAAAAACAAACTATTCAAAATTTTTGTTTGATTTTCACATCGTCTATGGCCTGCTTTAGTTTTTAATAGGAGCTCTGTCATTTTTGAGGTTGTCAGTACATTTTCCATGTTGTGTCAGTAACAAATGCAGTGGGAGGTTGGCAATCCTGCTATGGGGTTGATTTACTAAAACTGGAGAGTGCAAAATCTGGTGCAGCTCTGCACAGATAGCTTTTTTTTAAAAGCTGAATTGAACAAGCTGAAGTTAGGGTCCTTTCACAAGGGACAGACCTGTTTAGTGGATCCGCTTGCTCAGCAGGGGATCTTTCTGCTGCACACCCGCTGAGCAAGTGGATGTCAGGTCTATGTCTGCTATGCTCTTGCAGAGCAGACACAGAGCAGCTCACTCTCCTCAATGGGCGGTTGGATGAAAACGGACCTCCTGTCCGTTTCCATCTGATCCGACGGACGGAAGGGGAATTGGATCCCCATCCGTCCCTTTTTTGCGGGTTGGATTGGATGTCGGCAGGTGTAAACGGACACATGTCTGTTTACACCCGCTGCTCCATTGAGGAGAATGGAGGTTCCGATTTGGTCCACCTGAAAAACAGGCAGGTGGACCTAATCGGAACGTCCATGTGAAAGAGGCCTAAGGGCTCGTTCACACTTGGCTGTTTTACCAACTCTTGCCAAACACCCCTATAGCATTTGGCAAGCGTTGGTCTGGCGTTTGCAGAGCGGTTTTTAACGCTCGCAAACGCTCGGCAAACGCTGCATGCACGGTTCAGCGGCGGTTGCTAGCGTTTGCCGAGCGTTAAAAACGCCCCACAAATGCCTATAATGAAGTTTGGATGGTGTTTACCGCTCCGCAAACGCCCCGCAAACCGCATCACCATAGACTAGAATAGGAGGCTTCAACGCCTCCTGACTCGACCAGAGGCTTCCCGCCGCTACCGCTCCCGTTAGAACAGCGCCATGTGCTGCAATGGGCAGAATTGTCCGAGGCATTTGGGAAGCGGTAAAAACACTTCCCAAACGCCTTGCTGCTGCTTGAAAACAAGGCTAGTGTGAACATAGCCTTAGAAGCTGATTGGCTACCATGCACAGCTGCACCAGATTTTGCACTCTCCAGTATTATTTAATCAACAGCTTTGTTTCCAAGACTTTTTGATATAACCTATTTTTTTTTCTGGGTAGCTTCAAAATGTACTTTTTCACCTAAGGGCTCATTCCTACCATATGTGTTCCAGTGGTTTTTTTTCTACATCCAAAATGCATAGAAAGTAGGTTACATGGTTTTCAATGGCATAGTTCACACCAGTGCTTGCAGGTCTAGTGCCAATTCCAAACCACCAAAAGTGCGTTTTTGAAAGGATCTTTCAGGCAGAAAAAAATGTGGCATTTAGGAGCATCCTGCATTTTAGGAGCATTCTGCGTTTTAGGAGTATGCAGCATTTTCAAGTGTTCCTCGATTATAGTGAAAAATGAGCCAAGGGGAACATTTTGGATAAACACTTGTAGCGCTACCCACCTAGGGGCCACTCAGTGATGCTTGTCACCAGTGGTTGCCCTGACCTTGCAAGCATCCCGACACCTCTGATACTCTGGGTTCAGACATATGTCAATAGTAGAGAATAATAATTCAAGAGACACAATTCTTTAGTAACATCTCTACCAAAGGAATAGTGGGTTTAGGGTGCACAACCCCAGTTAACACATAACAGAAACACTGGTTCTATAAAAATCAAATAGCAGCGTTTAACAGATTATACAGTTATGAGAAGTAATGTTCAACTATTTAAATGCAACACCAGCAGTAAGAGGGGGCAGAAAAGACTTGTTGGCTTATCAGCTCCCTGTGTGCCACTGGCGATACAAGGGGTATGCAGAGAATTATACAAATATACACTCCCACATACTATATGTAGGTACCCTGGTTTGAGTAACAATGACCTTAGAAAGGAAGAGGTCCCTTTAACTAGAGATTGCAGCTTGAGTCCTGTGATGTTAAAAAAATCCTAATAATGTGGTATCCGCTAGCAATGGTGGGGCCCATAAACATTAATTCATACTGGTAATTCGATTAGGTTAAACAGAAAGCAAAGGTCCTCTGGTGACTGAGGTGTAAAGATATCTGCATGCAGTGTCTCTAGAGTGATGATAAACAGAGGTTTGGGCATCTGCCTGCTCCCCAATCCTATAGATAGCTTGGCCTCCTAGGAACAGGAGTTCTTTAATAGGCTCTTGACTATCTGCAGAAATGTGTAGAGTGACCACCTGACAGCCTGTGAGCATGGCAAGCAGTGATGTCTGTGTGGGAGCCATACAATGAGAGTCCCGGTGCTGATGCGATCCCAGTGTGGCGATCGGCGTCACAGCTATGCTGAACTGCTGCCCAGAGTCCCTCAACCACGGACCTGCAATTTTTCTCTTGAGGAGAATGGCAGTCTCCCTGCTTCCAGCTCTGAATCCTGTACCAAGAGAGGGAGCTTGCCCCTTGCAGAAGAATATATCTCCTCTCCCAGAATCCTTCTGGTTCGCCAGCTCTCTGGTATACGTAGTTCAGTCAGCACTGAGGAATACAGTATGCATTAACTATAGGACAACAGGTCCCAAGATCTTCTGCTGTAGAAGAATTGGATCCACTCTGCTAACAGGAAGTGATGTAGCTGTCCCAGTACTGGGCACTAGGGGGAAAAGAGGTAATTATAATCCCATCTGTAAGTGTCCTTGAAATGCCTAGTGGCATAGCTGGCACTTGGCTACACACTTTTAAAAGCAAATGCCCATAAATGCTTGTGCAATACAGGCCACGATAAGCAATTTTTATACTGATTTTTCTGGTAGAGATTCTGGCATTTTTTCAGCCACCTTGTGTGCATAGACCCTACAAAGCCAACACGAGTCAAAGAATGAAACGAATAAAAGAAGCAGCACAAGGATTGGAAAATGTGAAGAGAGCACACCTACAGAATCACTGTAAATCAGACACAACTAAACAGATAACATCATAGTGCTGATTCTAGCGGTGGAACTTTCAGTCATTGGCCTGGAACAGGTATGCAGGTAAAGTGAACCTGTGCCCAGGCTATGTACACTAAAATATTTACATATCCTGAACAAACAGTAAACAAAATTTAAAACAACCCCTCTGTAGCTATAGGCATTGTGGATGAATGCATCTTTAAAGTTCACAATAGATGCACTTAAATCTTGTTTTCTTTCAGTTTACTTCCTGTTGCTGCCAAGCTCTGTCAGTTCTCCAATGTAAACATGCAGCAGGTGCCTATAGGCTGTTAGAAATAAACTTAAACCCAACTTTACAGTATTTGTTATGATGTCTGAGAATAAATTGCTTTACATTTCAAGAAGCTAGATCAGTCAGAGATGGTTTGTTTTAACCTCCCTAGCAGTATACCCGAGTGTAGCTCGGGGTAAAGTTTCAGTACCAAAAGCGGTAACCCCGAGCTACACTCAGGCTTACCATTCAGCGTTGCATAGGGAGTCCCTGCAGCGCTTACCTTGTCCTTCGCTCCCGCGATGCGTCCCCTGCAGCGTCCCCGGCCATCTCCTCTGGCCGATGCCGGCATCCGGCTTCCGTGTTACGGTCCCTGTGACGTCAGGACGTACGGGCGCCGGAACCGGTGGCAAATTTAAAATTTTTTTTAAAAGTCATTTTTTAAAAAATTATTATTACATAGTAAAACATTGCTGTTTGAAAACATTTCACATACATTTTGTCCCTAGTGCTTTGTCCTGTCCCCTGCCTGCATTTTGACTTCTTTCTGCCTGGAAACTGAGAAACGTCCATGGCATCCAAAAAGCGTCCCTTTATGTCAAAAGCGGTTTTAGACCAGCTAGAGAACAGCGATAGTAAATCAGAACCACTTGCAGAATTGAGTGATAATGATTTGTGGGGAAATTCGTCATCAGACACTGAAAACGATTTTGTGACTTTGCTCAGTGATGTGCGAACTTAGTGCTATATTTCAAATTTCAGTGTTTTTGGTTTGATTATATTATTTAATTAAATTTTATTATTATTATATTATTATTTTTTATGATTATTTATTAAATTATAATTTATGATTTTTGTGTTTCAAGTTTTATCATACCCGGGATGTTTACTAGACTCTTGTTCGGACAGATTTCAGCGAGTTATTCCTAAATTACAGGCCTACAATAAAAAAAATTACATATTTCCATGCAAAAAAATGTACTGCTTGCAGCACCAAAAATCTGAAATAATCATACCGCTAGGGAGGTTAAAGCTCTTTTACTCCATGTTAAGAATATGCAAACAATTTGATATTATTATTATACAGTATTTATATAGCGCCAAAGGGTATGCTCAGCGCTGTACAGTAGCAAGGGGGACAGAACATGAGACAAGACAGTAGCAAAACAGTACACGAGGGGTTCAAGGGCCCTGCTCTTTCAAGCTTACAATCTAGGAGGGAGGGGAAGGTGATACAGGAGGAGATGGCTGTGGGGGATGGAGTGGTGGGAGGGATGGAGGAGGTTGTTAGGTGAGGTCAGGTGTTAGGTGAGGTTGGGGTAGGCTTCCCTGAAGAGGAGGGTTTTCAGGGTGCGCCTGAAGGTGAGGAGGATGGGTGACAGTCTGATGGATTGGGGTAGGGAGTTCCAGAGGATGGGGGAGGTCCTAGAGAAGTCCTGCAATCGGGCGTGGGGGAGGAGGAGACCAGGGAGCTAGAGAGTAGGAGGTCCTGTGAGGAGCGGAGGGCACGGGTAGGGTAGTATTTGGGTATCAGGTTAATTATGTAGTTTGGGGCGGCGTTGTGAGTGGCTTTGTAGGTCAGGGTTAGCAGTTTGAATTTGATGCGTTGGGCAATCGGGAGCCAGTGAAGGGATTGGCAGAGGGGGGAGGCAGATGTGGAGCGGTTGGTGAGGTGGATGAGTCTAGCCGATGAGTTTAGGATCGACTGGAGTGGGGATAGCGTTTGTTTGAGTAGGCCAGTGAGAAGGGAATTGCAATAGTCCAGGCGTGAGATGATGAGGGAGTGTACGAGTTGTTTCCATAGTCTGACCAGTATAACTAAACCCTCTGGACCATTTACCCCATCATGTTATTATAACATGGTAGAACACAAAACACAATGGCATATGTTGGATGGAATGTGTTGTGGTGTTTGTTCTGGTTGTTTGATTGTTTTGTTTGATTGCTCTTCCCTGCCTTCTAGAGGTTTATAGAACATAGGGGGTGGGGAAAGTCAAATTGGAAGCATGAATATTTATTGTGCTGCAGCCAATCCCTAGGGAGGCTCTGCTAATGCCCCACTCAGTAGTAACCCCCAGCTCTGCTGATCCCCCACTCTTTAGTAACCCCTAGCTCTGGTGATCCTCTGGCTTTCTGATTCTCCTCTCCCTCCAGTCCCCACTCACCTCCCACTATATAGCTCCCATGCTGCACACCGTGTGTAACATTTGCTAGTTTCTCCAGCTCTGATCCCCTGGCTCTGCTGATTCTTGGACATTCAGTTCTCTCTCTCCAGTCCCCGCTTACCTCCCACTATATTGCTTCCATCCTGTGTACCATGTGTGACATCTGCTAGTTTCTCCTGCTCCGATCCCCCAGCTCTGCTGATCTTCTGTTGCTCAACCCTGTCTCTCCGGCACCATGTGTGCCGTTTGCTTGTTGCCCTGCTCCAGTGCAGACCCCGCTCACCTTCCTGCTGCTCCGTGCTACACACCAGATTTGACGTCTGCACCAGACACTTCCAGAATATATACACATGAGCCAAAAGTGACTGCTGATGATATCTTTACGGTTCATTTGTTGATTTTCCAGTGCATCCTGGGATTTCTCGTACCTGCAAATCCTCCAAAAAAGCAAAGCTAACTCTGAACTCAAAAGCTGCAGGTACCGTTAGCGAGCTTTGTCATAAACTTTTATGGAGGCTTCGGAGATGCTTTGAAGCACCAAGAAAGCGACATGGGGTAACATTTTTGAAGCAAAGAAAACACAACAGTGTGAACAGGACTGTAAGGTAAACATTATATTTAGTGACAGGTGTTTTAATTGGTATTCAGAGTGCTTTAAAAAAAGTGTGTCAAATGCCACATTTTGAAGCAATAGTACATTAGCCCTAAGGAGTATCTCTAAAGTAATTACAAGATTAGTCAAGTTACTAAAGTAGCTAATAAGTAGCAGTTCCTTATTTACAAAATATAGAAATATGGGAATATATTTATAATAATTCAGCCACTTTATCCTTCAACTCTATGTATTCCTACAGTTATAATGCAGGAAAAGCCCAGAAAGCAAGAGATGTGTACCAATCCCTCTCCAGTTACATAGTTTACTGTGACGTGTGCTTCAGAGAGGAAGCTTTACGTCTACTATGATATTATCAAAAGTGTGCCTAATTCTAGCTATAGTTTATGTATCAACCTCTGAACAGTTCCACTCTGTATACTACGCTGGGTGTGACATATTGTCATGAAAATAGCAGACCTTCTGCCTTGTCAGGCGAATGTAGACCCTTAAGAGGGCCAAGGTGCACAGTCTAAAGAACCACATGGTGTTCACCAGACCCTCCCCACAAGAGGTGGCGCATCCCAATACACCCACTCTGGCAATAGTTGGCAGAAACAGAATAATTAGGCAAAGTTGTGGTCAAACTGGGACAAAAGAGGTCAGGACATGTAGATAACACAGGAAAAAGGCACTAATGGGTATAAGAAACTGGAACAGAGGCTACAGGAACAAGACTCCAATATTCAATTGCACTGAGCAAGTTTAAAAGTACCTCCCCAGTTCTTTTAGATGGCTTTTTATTAATGTAAATCAGGATTTATGGAGAATTTAAGAATAGATTTTGGTTCTATTAGGTTCATTGTTAATCAAAAAGTCTGTGGTTTCTGCAGAGAGAGAGGATATGCCTCTTCTGTATTGAGGGAGGCAGCAGCTTAATGCTAACAATTGTAGGATTGTATTAAAAAGTGACTATATAACTAAATACAAAACTCTTGATAGTTCTGTGGAAGTCCAGATAAGGAATCTGTATGTTTCTAGCTATCTAGTCCACAACGGGTAAATGGGTGCAGAGAAAAAAAACACCCTATAGAATGGAATTGACAGACCAAAGTAGAGCGTAGATAGAGATGCTCTCCATGTGAGGAACTCCCTGAAACAGACATGTTATCCTCTGATGCTCCTGCAACATTTGCTGTGTAAACAGTATTAAGCTGGACTTTAGAAACACCTTGCACTCAATTAAGTGTCCCTGTGGTGGTCTTAAGCCTTCTGAAGTGAAAACAAATAGCTATAAAAGGCTGCTTTATGAGGTGCACCTTGTCAGTTGCCAGTATTCCTTCACCAAGTTCAGTGGCCCATACTAATCACTTTTTCACTTTAGTTTGTAAGATCAACCAGTCATATTCTTAAACCTTGCGCTTTGCATGATAGACCACTCCTCCTGAAAGGCAACTAGTCAAAAGAGAAATATATAGGCTGCCATTGCTGACCTCTCTGTCTGAAAATGCTCTTTTCCTTGGTGTAATGCTGCTTCTGGAACTTGTAGAACACAAAATAGTACTCTTTCCTCCACAGGAGCCCAGATGCTCAGTAATGATGTGAGCCACCATTTTGGTTAATTTTAGCATCAGTTCAGTCATACCATGGCAAAATCTTGCTTTATGTGGAAAAAAGGTATTGTGTTTATATTATTTAATACAGGGGTCCTCAAACTACGGCCCGCGGGCCACATGAGGCCTGCTGAGGACATTTATCCGGCCCGCCAAGCAGGAGCGTATCTGCCGCGAGGCAAGGAACTAGGGTTTGGCAGGACGGGAGAGCTTGGCAGGGCTCGGGCGGGAGGCAGGAGGGCGAAATCAGCAATTCTGGAACAGGGGAAGGTGAGCTCAGCTTATGAACCCGCACCACTCACCTGGCCTCTCTGCAGCCAGCCGGCCATCTATTCTGATCAGTGCATGTAACCGTCACGGCCGGAGGGCGGAGCCTAGAGCTGACCATGAAGAGAGGGAGCAAGAGAGGAGACTCCATCGCTGCATGTCAGGTATCACGGCCACGGACCCTAGATAAGTGCAATAGATGATCGATCTCCTTCCCTCTCTCTTTCCCCCCTCTCTCCCTCTCCCTCCCCCCTCCTCTCTCTCCCCCTCTCCTCCCTCTCCCTCTCTCTACCCCCCCCCTCTCTCTCTCTCTCCTCTCTCTCCCCCCTCCTCTCTCTAACCCTCACCCCCCCCCTCTCTCTCTTTCTCTCTCCCTCATCTTTCTCTCCCCCTCTCTCTCTCCCCCCCTCCCCTCTCGCTCTCTCCCCCCTTGCTCCCCCCCCCCTCTCCTCCCCCCTCCTCTCTCTCTATCCCCCCTCCTCTCTCTCTCTCCCCTCCTTTCTCTCTCTCTCTCCCCTCCTTATCTCTCCCCTCCCTCTCTCTATATACATTGTACACAGATCTGACCCAACAAGGTGTCCTGCATTTACCGTATATTTCGCTCCATAAGACACACTTGGGGGGAAATGTCTGTGTGTCTTATGGAGCGGGCCGGCCCAGTATTCCCACCGCCGTTGTATGTCCGCAGTCTCTGGTCATCTCATGTACTATGTCCGCAGTCTCTGGTCATCTCCTGTACTGTGTCCGCATTTGTTCATAGTTTTTTTTTTTTAACTATAGTCCGGCCCTCCAACAGTCTGAGGGACAGTAAACTGGCACCCTGTTTAAAAAGTTTGAGGACCCCTGATTTAATACATGTATTAGGCTATATTGCTATATTGATTCTGTTTAACCACTTCCCAAATGTAGGA